AGAAATGAAGACATAATAAAATACACAACGGTACTCAAGACGTAACAGTAATCAGAGGGAGATCACATTACATTCCACAAAGGACCAGACCAGGTATTTTGGAGTGTAATTTACCTGCTAAATAAATGAAACAAACTTTACAGTTGAGCATACTGTATGTGTACTTAAGAGACCATTATCACATTTTATACCTGAATTTAGAAAACATCCTAGATGTGCTGCTTATTTTTGTGACCGTTCTACAGAGACATCGAGGGAGTTTTTGTAGTGTATGAGTGACATAACACAGCAACAGATGGAAGAAGAGTGGAGAAGAAAAAAAAAAAAAAAAAATGATGATGAGACAAGAGGAGCTGGCCTAATGAGGCACAACTCAGACAGGAGGAGAGAGAAGCTGAGGCTTTTAATTCAGACTTCGCAAATTTGGCCACAACCCTTCACCAGAGGAATTAGATGGACAAAACAGTCTTTCTGTTCGCCTTAATGTCTTAACATTTTGCCTTAACAAATATATACCTGCAATTAAAAAAAAAATCCCAGTAGAATTCAGTAGTTTTGTTTAAAAAAATAAGCAATGGATGAGCCTTATGAATGGGCTGGAGTGGGAGGCCTGTATTTCTGCTGTAAGGTTTCCACAGGATACATGTACTCTGCAAGGCTTAAGGGTTCAGCCGTGAATGCATTCTTAGCTTGTATGGCTGAGAGGGTGTTGAAATTCTGAAAGACACTGAAGTACCTTTGAGTGTAGTAAGATCGTGCCTGTTGGTTCTTAAGGTTAAGACCTCTGCCTTTCCTGTGAGTCCTAGCATTTGGGCTGCTGATGACAGGAGGATGGTGTGCTCCATCATCAAGCATTGCACAGGTGGCCAAACTCTAACCAGTTTGCTGCAGGACTACTCTAATCACCTTCAAAAGGACTCGTTCTGAGCAAAGCGCTCAAAGCTCACTGTGTCACCAGGCTGAATATCAGGGGAGTCTATAACAGCTGATATCTTGTTTAGAGCCAGTTGATGAGGACGCCCATATCTCAACGCCACCTTTATGTCTGAATATGGGGTAAGTTTAGGAACGAGTCTGCTAGCAGGCGTGCCTCCATTAATTTCAAGTGATCAACTTGCACCTGATATTTGAACAATTTAGTTGCATCTTCTGGCAACAAGTTACACAAAGCTAACCTAAAGCAGGCAAATTCACCTGGGTCTCGATGGATGAAATCAGATATGGTTGGCTGTGGAGTAGAAGTTAAAAGAGTTTCCGTCTTCACCTGCCATAAGACCTGTTGGTTTCTGAAGGGTTCAAGTGTGTTTGAAGGAACACGAGTTACTAGTAAAGCTGTCTGGGTAATGACTCTAGGCTGGGGATGGAGAAATGTGAGTCTCAATATCTGTAGCATTAATATGTTCTTTACTCTGTGAGGTAGGAAGTCTGCATGGGGCTGGTATTGGACGGACTCGAGGGGCTGGTTTTGGAACATATTTCTCTGATTCTCTGTAGACAGTTCTAGGTGAGGCTAATGGAGGTGTTAAGGGCTGTTGCTTAGGAAGTGGAGAAGCTGAACTTGGCTGGTTTCTCATTAGTATCTCTATACCTTTCTCGATCTCCAGTTGTCTGATTTCCTCCTTCATTGTTTGCTGTGATTGATGGAGCTGTATCCACATATCCACTTCAACCATGCAAAAGTTGTTCAGTCCATACGGAGAACTGGAGAACCCATGCGGTAGTGCGATCGATCGGCTCATCAGCAACTGAGAGTGACTGATGTATTGTAGTAACCACTGATCTGATTGGTTGTTCCTTCCCAACAATCATTAGCCTAAATAAGAATGATGTTTATATAGGATCGAACAAATACATTTTCACTTAGGCCCCGTTTACACGAGAACGATTCCGGGTGAAAACGTAAAAATATTTTATCGGATGTGGCTTTCGTTTGCACGGCAACGGCGTTTTGGGGGTTTAAAAACGCAAAAAAAGTGAAACCACCCGTCCCTCCAGAGTGGAAATATTAAAAACGCTCCACCGCCGCGTTCCCGTCTAAACGGTAAAAACGCAAATCTGCTCACGGTGGCTCTCGTCGCGTACGCGTTTACGTCACATGCATGCGCCAGTACAGGAAAATAACAACCAACATGTCAGATTATTTCCATGCGTCGGACCTTCAAGTTGCCCTAGCAGCTCTGAAAAACATACAAGAGTCTTTTCAGCAGTTGTAAAACATATTCTAAGATATTGGTGTTGTTGTGTGGCAGTGCTTCACATTGCCACCTAGCTGCCTGGAGTGCATACTACATCGAATTTCACACACTTTTGCGTCACCATATGCACGCGGATTTCCCAACCATAACGCTCGTCTAAACGCAGAATAAAAAGTGATAACGCAACGCCACTTTTGCGTTTTCTCTTCAGATCGTTTCCGTGTAAACATAGCCTTAAATTATATTTGAACAAATGGAAGAAAATCTATTGTGTCAGTGTTATAATTTATTAAAACATTTTGGCAACCATGTCATTTCATTCAGCTGAATCACTTCCATGACAGTTACTGATTCGCTCTGTAATCGCAACAACCCACACCTGCTAAACACACCTAATTGACGCCAAATATCGCGGTAAATCACAAATTACACATGTGTCCAAAAAGGTGTGAGATTGTTGTTCACTTCGGTCTACGTTTCAAGACCTTTGTGAGACAGAACAAATTTAAAGTCTCCCGTTCAGAGTTCAAATGGCTCCGTCTGCTCCCCAAGAAGACCCCAACCTAATCGAGGAGCGGTAATCTTTTTACACAGTCGTTTAGGTCAACAGAGAGGGCTCTGTCAGTGGGACTAAGACACCAGTTTAATGCCAACGGAGTATTAAGGAGGATTCTTGGTTCACAGAGATCATCTCCTCATCAGACTACACTACACTCTGTCTGCTGCTTATTCATCTTTTGAGTTTAAACAAACCAATTAGAAAAGAGTTACATCAACCGAGTCAAGATAAGGCGTGTTAAACTTGTTTTGTGTCAACAGTCCTGTAGGCAATTAAAAGGTCACTTGATTGTGGTTACATGTTTATGAGCAATTTGACCACCTGTTGTGCTTGTGGCTCCAATGACAGACCCTTCGCCGTGGTGGGGAGATGGGGAGATGGGTTTAAGATGGCATGTGCTGCTGTCTGGCTTTTGTGTGTGACCTTGCACTGCTTAAGACTTTAATAAGATAGATACACAAATCAAAAGAAAAAAGCAAATCACTGACTTCAGCCCTCTAATTACCAGTAAATCACACAGGGGTCACTAATTAGGCAGAGCTGGATCCAGAGAGCAGCCACCATATGGCACCGGTGTCGTTGTCGGGGCCCGCGCGGCTCCCACAGCCTCACAAGCGGCTAATTGTTTTCTTTCCCTGCTCCCCCTCTTTTCATTTGAGGTCTTTGTTATCTTGAGAGAACACGTTTTATGGTAGGCTAAGCCGCTTAGCTGATTTGAAGTGGGTGCTAGCGGATACTAGCGGGGGTACAGGAGCAGACAGGACTTCTGCTGAGGTGATGCGTTTGTGCTCTGAAAGTTAGAGAGAGTTAACATTTGTTGATCTGAGAGAAGCTGTTTGGTCATAAAAAGACAATTTGGTTCATAGTGTAAATACTGTATGACTCATGAAGAGAGAAGGGACAGGTTTCTGCAGTGTGACATGCTATACGGCATGTAAAACTAAATATTTTGATAAGATACTATGCATGTGTGTATTTATGTTATAATAATATTTAATGTAAAATATGTATAAAAATACATGCATAAAACATATCTTATTAAATTTATTTTTCTTAAAATGTTTAAAACATATTTATTGTTTATGTAAATTAAACATTATTATTTAACAGTTGACATCAGTTGAGTAAATCATAAGTTCATATCAATGTTGTAAGTATGCAAAAAACTTTAAATAAAAAACGGCATAAATAAATAATACAAATATGAACAAAAAAAATTAAGGTTCAAGTGTGCGTAGAAACATATAATACTCCAGTAATATTTTATTTTTTATTGCATCTTTTGAAATGGACAATTTTGAAATTTTGATTTGAAATATTGTTACACCATGATTATTTAAGAAAGTTCAAATGTAATGAAAAAAAAGTGAGCACCAAAAACATACTTTCCTTAATAAATTCATGTAAATGTTAACCTAAAATATTGATGTTGAACAAACATTTTATAAACATCATGACATCATAAAAATGTAATTTGAATTTCAGTTATAAGGACACACACAAACATGCCACAGTCAATCATTGTTGGATATCATTTTTTTTTTTTTTTGGAGTAAAAACAAGATTTAAATCCTGACTAACTCGAGCCAATAGAGATTAGCATTGCCTCATCGTTAATGGTGGACAGTTGAGGATTAAACAATGATGAAATACCATAAAACTTTAGGGAAGAATCGCCTAGCAGATGCTCCCTACAGTCTGTGCACTGTTCATAAGAAATATGATTCATTTAAAATAAAATGAAAAGAAAGAGCATTTGTAGTTACACATCAAAATGTGTAGGTACAGAATAGATAGACATTAGCATTCCTTCATATCTCATGTCCTGTGTAGTTAAAAATTTCAATGTGTATTTGGATCACCAATCATAACAAAAACAGGTGTTGACCCATGAAATCAATATTGATTCCTGAAACTTACAAACCACTGATAGCCAAATCCCCACATAAAAAAATTAATTAATTAATAGCTAACCACTGAAAGTTTTGGTGTGATGCGAACAAAGTCTTCATTCATGAATTTTGAGGGAAAACCTCAAAAGAGAAGAGATGAGAGCATGTGAGAGAGCTAGATGGAGAGTTATGACTCAACCCCAATCCTTTTGTTTATTCGTTTCTATCCACACTTGTTGTGGATGGAGCTAATACTGAGTGTGACTGATTGATCCACCCCTAGATGGACAGTAAAGATTAAGAGGATGACAAATAGGCACTTGCTTACACAGCGCTTGCTGCTAATCCCTTTGTCTTCCTTTAGGGAGCCCACGGTAGCCTCAGAGTCACTCACTGTCCAGCATCGCTAGACTCACCAGGAGGTGACAGACCACACTGCACTTTACAAAAGCAACAGACACGAAGTTCTACAGGACAGAGATACTCAGAGTAAAGAACGGACCAGGATAGAGTCCTTGAAGGAACTTGAAGAAACATCTAACAGTCTCAAGGCTGGACGGATCTTTTTTTAAGGACCCTCTAGGATTCCAATTAATCCACCTGGGAAAGATATTTTGACCTCAAAAGCCAGATCCTTCTGAGGGTACACTTCAGGAACAGCTTGTGTGAACTTCTACAGAACATTGAATGGAGGATCCAATGTCAGAAATGTCGATGGTACAATTTGTATCACCATCAGAGTCTTCCAGGAGCAACTCAGATGACAGTCAAGAGGGTGAGTAACTGCTTCTTCAATTTACAGTAGTTTGAAGTGGACATGTGAAAAGTGGCAAAGACTCTTGCAATCAATAAACTTTCAAACTTTTGGTATTCTGGAATTTCACCGTTTTAATGTTTCACCGAAAGTCCTAAAACACTATATTCTTAAAGCAACGTTTATGTAGACAAAATCTGGACACTTTGCCCTATACCTCAACAAGTATGAAATAGCAGTTGAAACACCAAGAAAAGACTGTCTAGTGATTACTTTTTCCTAATGATTGGATTGGGAATAAGTGATTGCGACATGGAATAACAAATAGTTGTTTCCTTGATTTCCCAGGTAAAAGCCCCGCTCCTGGCAAGATCCTGAACTCGGGACTTCTTTGTAAAGTGTGTTCGGACACCAGCAGTGGGAAACACTACGGGATATATGCTTGCAATGGTTGCAGTGGCTTTTTCAAGCGCAGTGTGAGGCGCAGACTCATCTACAGGTGAGAAAGCACCTTACATATTCAAAGTTGGGAGCAGAGAAGATTGAAGGTAGAATGTTCTTTAAAACCAGTGCAATAACATATACTAAGAAACTGATATTGAACTTTACAGATGTCAAGCTGGTACAGGCATGTGTCCTGTGGATAAAGCCCATCGGAATCAGTGCCAGGCTTGTCGCTTAAAGAAATGCCTTCAAGCTGGCATGAACAAGGATGGTGAGTCAACTTTTAAAGGTGTCCTCTTCTTTTCGACTTCTCCTCTATTGTCTCCGCTTTCTAAACCTTTCCATCCATCTCCTGTCAGCTGTTCAGAATGAGCGTCAGCCCCGCAGCACTGCTCAAGTCAGGTTAGACTCACTGGATGTGGACAAAGACAAGGAGCACCTCGCCACCACCTTGGAGCCCACTTCCTCATCCACCTGCTCTGTGATCAACCGCCCACTGCTGGGCTCCTCCATCAGCTCCAGCATCAGCTCCACAGATGCCATCCACCACTCCAACAGCCCCAAGAACGGACATCGCTTCATGGCCAGTCTGATGACGGCCGAGACCTGCGCCAAGCTAGAACCAGAGGATGGTAAGGAATGAGACCACCTTGGTCAACCAGCATCACTAGCTATGTTTTGTTAATGAGCACCATGTCCGAAAGTTCAGAAATAGGATGGCAACAAAGTAAAACTCACTTAAAGTAAAGCTCACTTTGAACTTTGATTTTGTTCTAGATCTTTATGGTGCTTTGGAAGGCAGTTTGAAACCTCCTTACACTATCAGAAAAATGTGCAAAAATGGTACCTTTAGGGGCCAGCTTGTCACTGAGGCAGCACCCTTAAAGGGACAATTTTTATTTGCCCCTAAAAGGTTTATAGTAGTAACTTAAGGGTGCTGCCTCAGTGACAAGCTGGCCCCTAAAGGTACCATTTTTGCACATTTTTCTGATAGTGTAAAAATGGTACCTTTAGGGGCCAGCTTGTCACTGAGGCAGCACCCTTAAGTTACTACTATAAACCTTTTAGGGGCAAATAAAAATTGTCCCTTTAAGGGTGCTGCCTCAGTGACAAGCTGGCCCCTAAAGGGACAATTTTTATTTGCCCCTAAAAGGTTTATAGTAGTAACTTAAGGGTACATATTACTAGTACTAAGGTACTACTATGCCACTTTTAGGGGTATATAAGGTACAAAGGTGTCTCTTTATGGACACTCCCCCAGTGTGACAAACTGTTGTACCTCTAAAGGTATTTAAAAAAAAAAAGCCAATGTACAAGGTACCTTAATATACAAAATGATACATGTTAAGTCTTTGACTGACTAGGTAGTGAGACAGTACTGCCTTATGTTTTGGACACGGCTATGCTGGTCTACCAGCTAGACCAACCCTAAATACTGTAGCGTAAATCAGCCTGGACCAGCAGGAAAAGTTTATGTTGGTCTAAGCTGACCTTTTCAACAGGTTTATAACTTTTTATCCACATTTTATCAGGTCAAAAATTTGTATGTAACTGTATTTACAGTGGATGAAAACATTGACGTGACCAGTAATGAACCTGAAAGGAGTTCTCCGGAGTACGGCAGTGCTCTCTACCCCTCGCGCGGCCCTGAGAGTGTATATGAGACTTCAGCCCGCCTACTCTTCATGTCTGTTAAATGGGCCAAGAATTTGCCAGTGTTTTCCCATCTACCTTTCAGAGACCAGGTTAGAGTCAGGTGCACTATTGTCTCTCTCCTTACTGTTTCTTGCCGACAAAGCTATTTTCAGACACACGGTATATTAATCGGCAGGTACAATTATCTGCCAATGCCAATCAAAATAACAAATATTGTTAAATAATCACCCCAACAATCTCTCACTATCAATAACTGCAAGTTTTAACCCACCATTTTTGTGATTTTAGGTGATTCTACTTGAGGAAGCATGGAGTGAGCTGTTTCTACTTTGTGCAATTCAGTGGTCGCTACCTCTGGACAACTGCCCCCTGCTGTCCCTACCTGACCTCTCACCCCCAGGACAGGGCAAGGGAAGCCCCTCCTCCTCCGACCTGAGGGTCCTTCAAGAAGTGTTTAGCCGCTTCAAGCCCCTGCAAGTGGATCCAACAGAGTTTGCATGCTTGAAAGCAATTGTTTTGTTTAAACCAGGTAGGTTTTTCCCTCTTCTTGCCACAAGGGGGCAATGATAGCAAACATTACAAAAACTACGTTGGTGTTCTGCGTTCTGCTAATCCATGCATTCTGTAACAGAAACACGAGGACTTAAAGACCCAGAACAGGTGGAGAATCTACAAGATCAGTCCCAAGTGCTGCTAGCTCAACATATCCACACGCTTTACCCCAGTCAAGTCGCCAGGTGAGCAAATACACACACACACACACACACACACACACACACACACACACACACACACACACACACACACACACACACACACACACACACACACACACACACACACACACACACACACACACACACACACACACACACACACACACACATTTGCATAAAGACGTTTTTTTGAGAGAAGACACAACTAACACAAATTATTTTTATGAATCTCTCTGTCTTAAGGTTCGGCAGACTATTACTTCTCCTTCCATCCCTTCACTTTGTGAGTTCAGAAAGAATCGAGCACCTTTTCTTCCAAAGAACCATCGGGAACACACCCATGGAGAAACTGCTGTGTGACATGTTCAAAAACTGAGGAGCCTTTCTGAAAGACAGTTTGTAGAGGAACAAAATCCTCTAGACTTCAGGTGCTTTGCTTTACTGTCATGCTAGTTACAGTACTATGCCAATGAATCTGCCTGAATAAAAAAAAAAAAAAAAAAAAAACACAAATGTATTTATTATTTTGCATAGGTTGCTTATTTGTTCTCATTATGTTTTATTTTATGTCTCTTTGTATCTGTGTTACTGTAGCTTTTATACTCATAATAATGCTAATAAGTCTATGCATCTTAATTATGTGACACAGCCTGGTTATGTATATAATGCAAATTGCCTTTCAAGGCCATTATAATTCAAGATTATTTAGAAAATGTTCAATGATCAGTTTGAAATTAAAGTGTGAAATAAATTGTTAATTGGTAAATGTTTGAAGATATGTCTCATATTTGTAGGACTTATAAATAAAATGTATTAATGATCTTCTTGATTTTTTTATTTCTTGAAACCTGGAATCAATCTATCTATCTATCTATCTATCTATCTATCTATCTATCTATCTATCTATCTATCTATCTATCTATCTATCTATCTATCTATCTATCTAGTCTGTCTGCCTGTTGCTCTCTGAGTGTTGCTTATTTTTGGGGTTGGCTTTGCCCGATTTATGGAAGTTAATCAATCAGAGAAAGGTTCACTCTATGAATGCAATATTAAGCATGTGATGATATTATTCTCAGACGTCGACGGTCGACCCTCGAAAATTAAAAGGACATTTAAAAGTGTAAAAGCATTACAGTAACAAATTAGGCTACCAACCACAGACCACGAATAAACATTATCCTATTTGTAGTAAAACTGCGGTTATACAAATGGTAATCAATCTGCCAAAAAGCATTCACAAGAAAATAACCAGGAGGAAAAGAATGCAGCGACTGAAACCAGCTCTTTCGGAAAGTCTTTCCATATTCTTGTTATACCAAAATACCAAACTTCTCTTAAAGTCTCTGAATATGAGAACGAGAACGTGAAGGGTTTTTTTCAGCTCATTCAGTCAAACTGCCTTCCATAATCTTAAACGCAGTATGCTCGTTAGGAAAAAAGGGGATACACTATAATTGATATTGAAAATAATGAAATTTTCCATACGAATAATAAAAAAAGATCATACCTTTCCAAACATGATGCATATCACTCCCGTTACTATAGAGGGCGCTGTTGCATTGCCCCTCAGCACATGACGTCGTTTTAGACGTCGCAAAACGCGGAAGTGCTTCTTGTTTTGACTGTCCATCCATGCACTGAGCTTAAAAATTTTTTTTTTGAACAATAATAAACAATCATAGTCATCACGGAGGGAGCGAGATCTATTCTGACACGGCATGACAATGTTCGGAAAATCTCCGGGTTATGAGTATCAGTGTCTGTCGCAGAGAGATCATTTGTACAGTGACACTCCTGGATTGTTTTCATCTCATGCTGAATTCACTCACAATCATGACCAGAGAGGACATTCATTTGATTATGTGCCTAAAGTATCGAAAAACGACTTCACAGGTATTCATTCACTCTACATTTACTACGGTGCAAATAGTCAATATTATTTTGATAGTAACACTGCATGTAGCATATATATATATATATATATATATATATATATATATATATATATATATATATATCCTATTTATTATACAATAACAAATTATGATTAGTGCTGTTATCAATTAAGCATGATTAATCGCATATAACATAAGAGTTTGTAAATATATAATACTATATGTATGTGTGCTGTCAAATCGATTAATCTCATCTAATATGTTTGTGTGTCTATATGTACACACACACACACACACATGTATATATATATACACAAACTTATGTTAAATGTGATTAATCATTAATAATCGATTTGACAGCACTAATGATTAAATATAATTATTACATATTATATATAACTTATATATAATTCTTATTTCAGATAAATCTCAAGGATTGTTGTCCTGGATTTGCAACCTGATCGTTACGTTCCTGGTTTTCCTAGTTACTTTCATAACTTTTCCCATATCTGGATGGTTTGTCCTAAAGGTCAGTTCTATCGAAGCACATTATTATCAGAGTTTTAGTCTTTATTAAGCACTTATTAAATGAACAGTATTATTTTTAGGTTGTACCAAACTATGAGAGGATAGTTGTTTTTCGCCTGGGTCGGATCCGTCCTCCTAAAGGTCCAGGAGTGGTTCTGGTTCTGCCCTTGATTGATCAGTGGCAGAAAGTTGACCTGCGGACCAGAGCCTTTAACGTCCCACCATGCAAGGTGCAATGAAATAACAGTACTTTTTAAAAACTCAGATTTGTATACCAAGTGTTTCGACATTCCCACAATTTTTCTGCCAAAAGGTAACCACCAAAGACGGTGGTCTGGTGTCAGTTGGAGCGGATATCCAGTTCCGGATCTGGAGTCCGGTGATGTCAGTGGTGGCCGTGCAGGATCTGAACGCATCCACCCGTCTCACCGCACACAACGCCATGATGCAGAACATGAGCAAAAAGACCCTGAGGGAGATACAGACAGAGAGAATCAAACTAGGGGAACATCTCGGGGTGAGAAATATTACATTTTGTTTTCTGAATTCCGTGATTTTTTTCCCAAGATTAATCTTTTTTGCTTGTGTGAATGATGCAGATGGACATGAATGAGATGACGAAGCCATGGGGGCTGGAGGTGGACCGTGTGGAGCTGATCCTGGAGGGGGTGCTCCGGGAACCAGACGGGGGTCATATGGGGCCCTTAATTATGCCCCCCTCTGTCCCGGGGCTGGAAGGTCTCACCGGACCCATACAGCAGCTCGCAATGCACTTCCTGAGCCAGAGCCAGACGGCTGCGTCTCAATGCAGTCAAGGTGATGTTAGAGCCCTCCACATATTCAGGAAAATACAGAGCGATTAAAAAAATCAGAATAAAGGATATGGTGGATTCTGAAGTCTTGAGTTTTGACAAAGTCTTGTCTGAATTTTTAAAAGGTATTTTGAAGACGCTGAAGGTTAGGTTATTGTCTTATGTACAGAGCTTGACATTAACACCAGCCACTTTGGCGGGTTGAATTGTATATAAAACATTTTTTAATTATAGTCTTTTAAAAAGGCATCTGAAATAATAACCTAAGTGCAATGTAGTGTTGTCAAAAATATAGATTTTTCGCTACACTTCAATACTGAAATATCTGAAACGCTTCCAATACTCATTTTCTGCAGAATAGATACACGATAGCAGCTGCACTTTCTCTCTCTCTCTCTCGTCTCTCCAACAGCGAGTTACACACAAACCCGCCTCCCCTCACTCACTCGTTTCATTTGCTCCGGATGAAAATTACTGGGTTTGAGCTTCGCTGTGGTATTGCACATAATTTTACTCATTCCCGCAGATTTTGTACTCACACCAAAAGTGTGCGCACATAAAGCCGCCTCTCAGTGCTAAATTGAGTTGTTTTTCACTGCGTTTTGAGCTTAAACAATCAAATTCACATAAAACAATGTCAAAATGCCGGTCTATTCACGTAAACAGTCAGTTACTGTATTTTTTAAGTGAATGTTAACAGTTGAGAAATAGGTCTTAAAGTGACAGCAGCCGAATATACCTGCTGCCAAATTGTGAGATAATATTTTTAATATCCATATGGCAGGTGAGCATATGCTGGTGAGCAAAAAAGTTAATGTCAAACCCTGCTTATGTAGTTAAATACTTATAGAAGCCGTGTGTGTCTAGGCTATGGCTAGGATTTTTTTAAACACTTTGGGAACTCCTTAAAGGGATAGTTCACCCAAAAATGAAAATTAAGTCAGTAATTACTCACCCTCATGTTGTTCCAACCCCGTAAGACCTTCGTTCATCTTCGGAACACAAATGAAGATATTTTTTATTAAATTTGAAAGAACTATCCCTTTAACAGTTGATATTGTGTTCTGATGTAGTTGAAAGACTGTTTGCTAAAGGGTTCTAACTGGTTGCAATGCTGTTCGTAAGGTGTTATGAGTGGTTGCCAGGCTGTTACCAAGGTGTTCTTACTGGTTGCTAGGCTATTGGTAAGGTGTTGTGAGTTGTTGCTAGACTGACAGACAGAATATTGAGACTGTAATAAATTGCTTGTTATATTCCTCACTTTGCATAAAATCCTCTGCCGTATGACTAAATGTAAATTCACCTATGATGAAATGTTTTCAAGCCATCATAATGAATTGTTGTGGTTCCTTCCAGATACTCTGAGCTTCGCAGATGAGCTGCGTTCAGTTTCAGCTGCGAGTGTCAGCAGTGTGGACGGACTGATGGATGTGGTCAGGTCAGTGCTGTCAGAGGAGCTGGTTCATCAGGTGGGAGCCTGTTACCACTTTCAGATCACCACTGACTCTGGACAGACCAACAACTATTATATGGACCTGACACAAGGTAAGACTGAGAGTGTGTGTGTGAGAGAACGCTATTATATAAACCAAAAAAAGCCTGTTTACCAATGCCATTTCACTGCCTACACCTGGTGTTGTGCCTACTATTGGTATTATGATCCTAGGAACAATATCAGGACGGAGCCATGGCTTAGTGATGAAGCTCATTTGGGTGATTTGGGTTCAGGCCTGGCTTGCAACATCTCTGAAATCTTTTCTACCATGGCTATGGTTACCCCAGCTAACAATTTTTGGTTCCCACATTTTTTCTAAGCTTTGTTTTTGGTTAACCAGGAAAGTTTTCTTAATAGAACATTAGTTTTTGCTTTGTAGAGCATTTTTCTGACGTTAGTCTAACGGTCCCCTACATTTAGTTCATCATGTTTATTCTTACATATTCTTTCATCTTTAATCATAAACAGTATTATATGGATGCTTATAATCAGTATAAAAAAAAACACATCTTGTTTGTATTTATTGCTTAATTTATAAAAAATAATCCAAGCACATCAACCATCTTATGGAAGATTAAATAAGATTAAATTTGTCCATTAATATGTAAGATTTACTAGATTTCAGGGGGTATGCAGACAATGACAATTAAAAAAAAAAAAAAAAAAAATTATTGATAGAATTTAAAAAATGAATAAACATTTATTTGACTTGAAGTAGGATATCAGTACATTTATTTATTACCACTGAATTGTACACTTTAGCATGACATGCTTCTTTAGTTTCTTCTCAATTAACATCATGTTATTTTTAATTAGACATCAAATCGTTCCAAAATGATATTTACTCTCATATCTATATTAACTATAAGTAATTATACTATGGGGGTGTTGAATGCTTGAATTTGATTGGTTGACAAACTTTCTAAGGTGTGCAAATGTTTTCAGGGAAACGCACGGTTAAAGTAATTCCAGGTTTTGACCAGGTATTGTGATCCATATCACAATAACCAAACGGGAACCAAATACTTACGTTAGGGGGACATTCTGTGTTTGCTGGGACTCTGCTATTAGTCATTAAAAATGAGGGGGAAAAAACAATGTCAGAACTAAAACTAAAAGTATTAAAAACATTTCTGTAAATTGAAATAAAGCTGAAATCAAGTCAAACATGAATATAAGTTGAAAAACTTAAATCAAATGAGAAAAGTTGCCTTGTCATTAAACTGAAGTTAAAGTTAAAGCAGTAAAATTATTACAACTGAAAAAAAAAAACGAATAAAAGGATAAAAGCACATAACGAAATTACTAAACATGAAACTAAAACTAAAAGCTATTAATAAAACTCTAATAAAGATGTGTTACTACATGAAACATCAGGTAAGATTATTGAATGGTGAATATCTGGTTGCCTATAAGAAATGCATTTTTTACACTGTGCTTCAATCCACAGTATAACACCAACACGGCACCCAAATTAAGACCAACATCATCCATAATCTCTCGTGCCCTACTCTACTATTCAAAGTATATGATTACAGGCAGAGAAAATTGATAACCGTGTAAGATTTGCATGTACTGCCCCATTTGGGAATGGTCTCTAGACCGTTTGTGCATTGTCGTGAAACCCCCTGAATGCTGCCTCAGCGGTTTACCGTGTCTGTGTTCAGGACGGGGAGCGTGTGGTGTGGGCGTCCTGCCGAGGGAGCCGGATGTTTCTCTGTGCATGAGCGAGCAGGATCTGCTGGCCATGTTCCAGGGCGGCCTGCGACCGTTCTCCGCCTACAGCAGCGGCAGACTGAGAGTACAGGGAGATCTGAACACTGCCATGAAGCTGGAGACACTCATCAAACGCCTCAAGACGACATGATTTATTACGCTTTCGTTTGTAGTTATTTCAATTGATCAAAAGCCTTTGTAAATAATTTAAGGTTTACACTGTGAATGTTTAAATGGCTTCAGGGCTTAAATTATATTTTGTAAAACATTTTATTGTGATTGCATTCAAAGCCTTTCACTTCCTGGTGTGTCAGTGTTGTTTAATTATTTATTATAGTGTGGAGTATTATGTGACCCGACCATTTCAATTTATGTTTTTACCCAATAAACTGTTGATTCAAAATCTATGATTGACTTGACTTCACATTATTTTCTGATAAATGTATATTCTACTAATCCGGTGAGACTTGGATTATTGCACACACACTTAGCAACATCCTTGAAGTTTGTGTTTATGGGCTGATCCGTTGTCTTGTCCAAGGCTGACTGTCTCTCGACCTTTGACCCCCATATATTTGGTGCCCTTGCGCAACTGTTTATACAGAAAACTTTACAACAAGGTTATTTCACTAAAGCATTTTGGTGTATATATATCTGTTCACTTGAATGAGTATTCAATGCTCTTTCTGCACACTACTAAAGGGAGATTAGACCTCAAAGAGATTTATTTATTTTCTAACAGCTCAGTGTCATCAATGAAGCATTCAAATAAAGTCATTTATGCCAATGCATATTGAAACATGATGAGATGAGAAGGAAAGAATAAAGATGGAGAAAGACAAATTGGAGGGAAAATGGATAAAATGGTCTGAGAGAAGGCTCTAGAAGCAGCTGTTGACACCAGCGTCCATAGTAAACATGATCGTCCACTGGAAACATCTCCTGTTGATGTTATGCAGTGGACATGTGAATGTCACATGTCCACTGCATATACCGGTATACAGATAGTAAGGTAGTGCTATGCTACACATGTGAGACCCAATGAGACCCGACGCTTCTATGTATACGTTAGCAGTCGAGTTCTCCGGATTCGAAAGTTTTCACATTCAAATGAGTGGAAGTATGTGCGCACAGACACGGGCCCAGAAGACACTGCAATAAGGTCTGTCACTGCTGCTCATCTCAAGACACCAATTGGCTTCATGGACCAAATTTTCTGATAAGCAACCCCCAGATTAGAGAACACATAAGAGATTGTGAATCATTCTTCAGATGCAGAGGTTCGTCCTCAAGTCTCCACATTGAAGACCACAATGGTGAGTAAGAGCCTTGGAGCACAACGCTTCTCCAAATTTTCCACTTGGAAGTCCATCACTCATGCCATTGCATGTCTTCTTCATATATCTCGTCAGTTCCACAGTTTCAACGTTCTTGTTTCCATTTGTTTAATTTCAAGATGTGAGGTGAATTATCCATTGTTGCTTTTACAGCTATCATCCCTGGGAAACATCACATTGCAACACTTTTAGTCAAACATCATCATGAAAAAGTGCAACACCAGGGATGGCATTACACAGAGGGTGCAGTGCGAGCTATGGATAGTTGGTGGCAAGAGACGTGTTTGCATGAATGTGTTACATGCAGAAGACTTAGAATAGAACCACAGACTCAAAAAAATGGCTGACCTTCCAACAGATCGTGTGTCAAATGACCCTCTATTTACAAATGTGGGACTAGATGTTTTCTGCCAGTGTGCAGGCGGGCGGCAGGATGTACCAGAGTTGGTCATACGCAAAGCAAAAAGGTGGGCAGGAATATTCAGTGTGAGAGTTGTGCACATTGAGCTTATTGAGTCTTTAGATACATCTAGCTTCATTAATGCCCAAAAGGTGCTTGCAAGGAGCTTAACATTTCCTCTAATGTTGACAATACCTCTGTTAAAAAAAATTCTCGTTGACCAGGGTTGTACTTTGGTCTGATATGGATGGGTCCTGGAAGAGGATGATTGGATTTGCTAGAAGGATACTTGCAATGTTCCAACAGTTGGACCTTCACCACTATCATATTAGACACTCTCCAATGTAATGGCAGAAGTTGCTGCTATAATCAATGCCCGACCTCTTGTCCCAGTGTCAACCAACCCAGATAACCCATTCATACTCACACCCAATGCACTCCTAACTCAAAAGATCACAATTGCTCCTGCCCCAGCTGGTGACTGGGTCAAAGACCTTTATAAATGGCAGCGGTGCCAGCTATAACACTTGGCACAAACTTTCTGGGATTAATGGAAAAAAAAAAATTTTGCAACCAAAAAGAAAGTGGCCCTCTAGTAAGCCTGACGATGAACTAGGAAGTATTGTGCTTTTGAAGGATGAAGAGATGAGACTTATTACTCAAGTTTTCCCAAGCAAAGAAAATTTTACCAATCCCAATACTTTTCAAGTATTCAGTCTTATTAATAAAGATATATAAATATTAAATAACATAACACATTAAAAAAACAAGACACACACACTCTCTCTCTCTCTCTCTCTCTCTCTCTCTCTCTCTCTCTCTCTCTCTCTCTCTATGAAAAACCATCAGAAGAACCATATTCAAAATTTATAATAATGAATTAATAAAAAAAAACTACTTATACTTGAAAAGAATGTAAAATAGAATGAGAAGAATCTCTTCCCCATAGAAGTCTAATCGGGATCACAATAAGGCCCTCAATAATAGCCAGTAGGGGGCACCACATCTTATGAATGTCCCAGAAAATTTGGTATATGTCCTCCGCACACTTCTCCATCATCCTTGACATGTAAAGTGGGGAGTCATATTAAAGCAAACAGCTGCTTTCCACAGCAGCTGTTCTTTCCCTAGCGAGAGAGAGGCAGTGAGAGGGTGTGATGGACCGCTGGAGTCTGAGGGCCCGTCTGGCTCAGTGTCTGTCCACACTTAAGCACCTGCCACAGGTCAGGACGAACCACGCAGGACGAGTACCTGCAGTCCGAAAGGACAACTCTACCGTTCTGCCCTTCAGTGAGGTTCCTGGGCTGTGGAAGAATGGTGCGGCGAGTCTCTACACGTTCTGGAAAATGGATGGCCTCAGGAATATACACCGGATTATGGTGCATAATTTCAATATGTTTGGTCCCATTTACAGGTAAAACATTTTTTTTTTTTTTTTTTACTAATAGTCTGTGCCATATACATCTGTATATTTCATGACTTTTTTGGGTTACACTTTATTTTATGGTGACAAAGTTACATTTTACTTACTCAAATTGAGTAATATCAATTAACTACATGTACTAACTATAGAGTTACGGTTAGGTTTAGGGTTAGTTACTTGTAATTATGCATTGTTAATACTATAGTACAGTAGTAACGTGTAACTTCATCACCTTAAAATAAAGTGTTCCTATTTTGTTCCCCCAGTTATCAAGATAGAACTTGAAAAGTCATAGAAATTGGTCAAAGGTGGTAAAAAAATAATTTTAATAATTGTATTTATGTTCATTTCATAAATTGTATACTGGACAGATGTGTTTAATGACATAAAAAGTACTAAAATACCGTAAAAATATTTTCAGACAGTTTTTTTCTTCAAAATATCACACATTTTTGACTCATGAATATCAAAAAGATTTCCTAGGGTTCATCCATTTGACCTAAACAAAAGGGACATTTACAACGGTCAAAATATTGTTTATTTAAAATAATTATAATAAACCATATTGACCTTTTGCTTTTTTTTAAAGAAACAATGATAAAAATTGTCCTCATTTCTTTTTCATTATACAACCATTTATGCAACCTAAATATTTTTACAGCACCGAACAAATCTAAAAGAGATATTTAATATAGAAGTTACATAATAGTCTGTGCTTGAAGGGTTCATGTGATCCTGTTCATCATCAAAGAGGTATATTAAAGGGAGAGTTCACCCAAAAATAAAAATGTTGTCATCATTTACTCACTCTCAAACATTGTTCCCATTGACTTCAATAGTACAGTCATGCTCAAAAGTTTACATACCCCTTGCAGAATCTGCAAAATGTTATTTTAACAAAATAAGAGGAATCATACAAAATGCATGTTATTTTCTATTTAGTCCTGTCCTCAATAAGATATTTTACATAAGAGATGTTTACATTTAGTCCAGAAGACAAAAAAAATTCCTGACACATATTTCACACCCTTGATTCTTAATACTGTGTGTCGTTACCTGGACAATCCACGAGTTAGTTTTGTGATGGTTATTCTTGAGGCCCTTGTTTGTCGTGAGCAGTTAAACTGCCCAATGTTCTTCAGAAAAACCCCTCAGGTCCATAAAATTATTCCGTTTTCCAGCATGAACCCTTTGACTTTGACCCAGCAGTGACTGAGCCGACTGATGCATTTACAGCCGGGGGGTGAAACCGTTTGAACAGGATGAAGATGTCCAAATTTTTCTTCTTTTGTTTAAATATCAATTTTTTATTTTTATACTGCCCTTGCGAAGCAACAGAAGATACTTGCATGTTTCCCCTGAAAACAAATTAAGTACAATTCTTGAGGGATAATATTCTCAAAGTTTTCCAGTCTGGTTTTAAAACTCTACACAGCACAGAATCTGCTCTTTTAAAAGTTTTTAATGATATCTTTTTAGCTACTGACTCTGGTGATTGTGTTATTCTTGTGCTCCTTGATTTAACTGCTGCTTTTGACACTGTGGACCTTGTGCAGGGTTAGGGTTAGGGTTAGGGTTAGGATTGTCATGTAGAGCGGTGGGTGGGCATCAAGGGCATGCACTAGAATGGTTCAAGTCCTACTTGAAAGGTCGTACTTTCAGTGTCAACTGCGGTGACTCTGAGTCCTCCTCTCTCTTGTGGGGTCCCTCAGGGTTCAGTTTTAGGCCCTCTTCTCTTTTCTCTTTATATGCTCCCGCTTGGTTCAGTAATCAGGAAGCATGGCATGTCATTCCTCTGTTATGCGGGATTTATGTGCCTCTTAAAAAGAATGAGACTGTTAGACCGCTACTCGAGTGTCTTGAAGATATAAAGGCCTGGATGGCTCTTAATTTTCTAAGTTTTAATGCACTAAAGACAGAAGTGATGGTTTTTTGGTGGCACCAATGGGACCCCTCCTGTTGATTTGGGTGCCTTGGTCCAGTACTCCAAGCCAACCGTCACTAACCTAGGGGTTAAAATTGATTCAGACCTTAAGCTCGACAGTCAGATTAGGGCAATCTTTAAATCATGCTTTTAGTCAATTGAGGCAGTTGGCCAAAATAAAGCCATATTTTCCCAGGCAAGATTTTGAGACAGTAATCCACGCTTTTGTTACCACTCGGCTAGATTACTGTAATGCACTGTATGTGGGGGTTAGTGGGTCTTCTGTAGCTCGTATCCAGATGGTACAAAACGCTGCTGCACGT